AGATTTAGGTGATTATCATAATGCAAATTGCTCATTGTCTCTTCACATCATTAATTACAGCACTTGTATTCTTTTATTCTTTGGATTTTGGGGGGAAAAAAGCCCTTTGTGTAAAAAAAATAAATCCTTTATTGCAGTCTAGATCGCTTAAACTATTTTTCTTCTAAAAGTGATAAAATATGTATGACTAATTAAAATAAAGTGCCTTTCATCAGCTCATAATCCCTGCCATTCAGATTTATTTAGAATTGCTTGTATAAATAAACCATGCAAGTGTACAACAGGCCAAATATATTGGTATCTTTCAGTTTGAAGCACTGCCAATTGCAGATTATGTGGTGTAAGACTTAAGGCAGTAAAGAAATCAAGGCAAATCCTTTCCTAGGGATCAAGATTGTAGGGACATTATAGATTATGTGTTATATGTATTATAGATTGGGAATTCTGTATTGGCAAAAAGAAAGTTAAATTACAACATGATGTAGATATCAGAGTATTTAATTCTCCCGTAAAACAAAAATAACTGAAAGGATGTAGTTTAAGCTTTCTAAAATCAGCTGAATATCCAAGACATGAATGAATTCACTGAAGGTGGATAGGAGTGAGTAAAATTGGGTGCTAAAATGGCAATTTTGGTTCATCACTTTTTAATGGTGATTACTGTAATAGCTTGCATCAAGTTCTCTGGATGAATTGCAGAGATATCTTTAAATAACAGCACCTGTCTGAGATTAAACAGGGGAATTGTGTTTATGAAGGCATGCCTTTACTCTTTCCCCCAGTGAACAGATTATACTGAAAAAATCTCTTGTGTTGCAGTTGCCTTGTTTCCCCACCCAATCCAGTGTATTCAGTGTAATTACCGTTAAAATACCTCTCTTTCTTCATAACTGAAATGCCACTTGCTTTTGGAGCTGATGACTATTAGCATCAGGAGGTTGTCATCATCATCGTGACTGGAGTTAGACTTTGACCTGGACTGAAATCCAGCATTACACACTTCTAATATTATAGCCATCATTGTTCAGTTTTGAAAACACAGACGTTAATGGGAAGTTGATCTTTCTCACTTTACCAAGCCTTCTCTCTAATAAGAAGACGAAATGGTTCTTTGTGGGCTGTGATCACAAATTTGATTGTTTTGGTTCTGAAAGACAGTGTTCAGTTTTAAAACCAAACCGTGCTTCTGATGGAAGGAAATGTCATTTATTTGCTTCCTCTACCAAGAAGTTTTCTCTTGAGGTTTCCCAGCAGTACAGTGATCAAACCTGCTGTCCAGCTGGCGATGTGAAATAAGACAAGCTTGTAGTTCAGGGTACTGTGGCTGCACACGTAGTGTGCAGCAATTTAAAGGAGGGGACAAAAAAAAAAAAAGGCAACTCCTGGGTACCCCTAAAATCACACTGAGCTTTGGAAAACAGAATTGCCTCACTCAGGTTTTAAAGACCTAGTCTGAAAACAAAGCTCCATAATAAGCTGTCTTTGGATCTGAAAGTGATTTATATTTCCATATAAATGCCCTTTCCAGACCCAGAGCCAGATATATTAGTTTATTCCCAAACTAAACTGTCCTGTAAAGATTTTACAATAAAATTTTTCGTATATCAAACCTGTGAATTTTTTCTGGCTGAGCCTTTCTGGAAAAGGCATTGCCCATCTTTATGTTTGAGAGCTGCTGTTGAGTGCTGCAGTCTACTCTTGTAAAGAACCACTATGGGAAAGTTTCTCTCAGGCAAAAAGAGCCTGAAAATGTTTATTTTAATGCTTTATGTTTAGAATTTTAGAAATCGGTAGGTGGAAATTCCCATGTGAAAAACTTAAAGCCCTTCAAAACTGAAAAAGAGGTGTCTTGTATTCATTTCATTTGGAGTACAAAATAGTATTCATATGATTATTATTTAAAAAAAAATAAAATCTTTTTATGGATTCAATGAATGGAGCCTCGTCAGAATGCTTAGTCAAGAATTAAGGATTGGCTTACACATTTTCTCAGTAAGGATTAACATCTGACGTAGTCATGACATTGCCTCAGCAACAATGGGATCCTTTATCTACACTCCTGTATTATGTGCATTTCATTTCTTCCTGCAGACAGTGCTTCATTTGTAAGGGTAGCCTAACTGGGTCTGTGTGTATTAGCTCTACGGAAAAAAGCGGATATGTGACAGGTGTAAAATGTAGGGGAATCCAGCAAAGGTAAAGATAAGTGCATGATGAGAGACTACTGTATAGGGTGACAACATTGCTATGGTCAGCTTTCATTTCTTGAAAACTAAATACTCATGTTTCACACTTCATTGATGGGATGTAGACTCCAAAGTTAGTTTAAATTTTCATAGATAATTGAATTTTCTATGTCATTTGTAGTGGCTATTAACTTCTGCAGTTTAAAGCCACTTGGACCTTTTGTTCTTCTGATATGTTTGGGATTAATTTTCATTAAATAACCATGCTCTTGGAACACTCCAACCTCTTTATTCACCTGATGGATCATCAACATCCTAAATGTTAGAAATTCAGCGTGTAGCGATTGGCTCCTATCTGGAATAACTATTTTAGCACTGCAAACAGAAGTTGAATGGCAGAACTGGGTCTTGCGCTAGTTCTGTCTGCGTTTTGGTCAGGCCAACAAGACCCGCGTTGTCTGTATTATATATAGGCAGAGCTGAGGATGCAGGGGCATTGAAGAGTTTGAGCGGGGCTTTGGGGGCCTTGGGAGGGATGAACCAGCATGCCCAGTGCCTGCCGAAGAAAACGGATCTGTGGAAAGTTAGGATAAGAGAGGCTGGCAGTGCTTGGAGCCATTGTTTTGGGAAATTCACACTCTCTGTTGTGCCATGTGTGCACAGAGGGGCTGTTTTATAGGGTTGCCTGCAGGATTCCCAGTCACGAGAACACTTGGGTAACTGGGAGAGCACATGTGCCAGCACCAAGTGAGGGAAGTTCAGTGGTAATCTGGGCTCCTTGCTCCAGATCATCTGCCTCCAGCATCTGCTTTCCTGTTGTTCAGCTTTCCTTGCTGACTGCTGCAGGACCAACTTAAGGGATGCCATCACCTGCAAGTGTGCTCTCCTTCTGTTACAAAGGTGGGCTGTTAAGAGCTTAATATAATTTCTAGTACTGTGGAAATAGTGTTTTCCTGTAAATCTGTTATGGGAAAGGTTTCAAAATTGGCTTTGGAACATTTTGAGTGTTACTTGCCCTGTGGAGAGATTATTGCAAGATTTTCCTTTTACTTTCGTAGCTTGTAGGTGCAATGGCCTGAGGGATGAAGAACTCAGAACAGCTTAGAGGTTCCAAGTGAATTATGGAGGTGCTTGCAATTCTCTATTACATTCTCATCTGCAAGCAGTTAGTATGAAAAATACTTCTGGCGTATACTAGTATCCACGGGCACAATGAGCACTAGCAGCGTATCTGTAGTGGAGGGCAATGCAGAGGCTTCTGAACCTCCATCGAGCTTAGTGGGACGTGCCCAGTCCCGGTGTGGTGCTCTGCAAAGGAGATGCTTTCGTGACCGAAGCTAGTGCCTGTGCTGATAGAGTGGTGTGGCCGGGCTAAAAACCACTGCTCGTGGCTGGGTCACCTCGTCCAGCTGCGTTTGTACTGGTCTGGTGATAGATCAGATAGATCCCTTCCTTTGCTCAGTAACTCTGAAATCTCCATGCTCTCTATTGTTTCTTGGTTGTTTTTTTTTTTTAACCTAATTTTCATTTACTATTTCTCTGCATCTATTGTTTCTTTTCCAAGCTCTCCTTACCAGCTTTTTTCTCACCTTCCAGGTAGGAACAGATCTTTGAGTAGTAAAGCCTAATTTTCCCCCCACCTCCTTTTCTGAGCCTCTTCTTTTGTGGTTGAGTTCTTAGCTGCTTTGGAGAGCTACGCTTCTGCGGTTAGTATGCGCGCACACAAGAAGTTTTCATTTGGCCGAGTCTCTCTAGCCATATGCAGTATAGAGCAGCTCACATTAGTGTGTGCTGGAGGTCAGTGGTCCGACTGCTCTGAGGTCTCAGCAGACCTATATCTGTACTGGTCTCATGAGGCTCGAGATCAGCATCCTACGGGCTTGTGGAGCACAGGGCCACACAGTATTTCTCCTTGATTTCCAGATATAGGAGGAGAAATTCTGAACTGAGCTACAATGGGTATTATTGTCTCAGCTTGCTTGCAGGGATGGGTATAAGAGGAGAATTTTTATTCCCTACAGCCCCAGTAGTTAGCGTGGGCATCAAGCACAGTTTGATGAAGAGTAAGCACCAGGATAGGTTTTTTGTAGAGACTTCTCTTTTGCCACATGGACAGCAAATGCTGGGGAGCCAGCTTCCTCGTTTGGAGTGCTGAAACTGAAACTAGAATGACTGACCGAAAACAGCCCTCAGTGAAAGACTGATTTTAATAAAAAAACCCTTTCATCTTTAAAATCACTCTTTATGCTAATTGATGTGTAATTTGGGTTATTGTAAGTGCAATTCCCAAAGGAAACAAGGCTCTGTGCAGTCAGGGTAAGCCTGAGTGGTTTTGTATCTCCTCCTCATTCTGCATCCTCTTGATAACTTTGAAACCAATGGTTGTTATCAGCCAAATTTTATAGAGGAGCACAAGTCTCACAAAGCTCCTAATTTTTTGAAAATCCAAGGCAACTGGGTGGAGAGGAGTGTATCCCATTAAAGCTGGACTGTTGTTTGAACTTAACTATTAATAAATTTTACAGAATCTGCATCCTTCTGAATGTCTCTCACATCCTCACACACACACTCTGAAAATTTGGCCTCCTTAGCTCAGGTATTTGCAGATGAACACTACTTTCACTACTCATTTCAGCCCCATGGGAAAAGGTCGTGGTGTTTCTCCAGGCATTTGTGGTTACCTTGCTAGGGGTCCCAGCAGTGGGAGTGTAACTTTTCCATCAAAACACCAAACAGAATTCCCTTTCCCTCTTATCTGCTGTCAGTTTGTGATTTGTTGCATTAAAAAAAAAAAATTCTCTTGTTTGATTTTAGAAACGGAAAAGATCCCTGTAATGCGTGGACAGTGGTTTATTGATGGTACATGGCAACCTTTGGAAGAGGAGGAAAGTAACTTAATAGAACAGGAGCATCTCAACCGCTTCAAAGGCCAGCAGCTGCAAGAGAGCTTTGATATGGAAGTATCAAAACCTGTTGACGGGAAGGAGGGTAAGATTGTTTAGATCACTATTTTTATAGTACTTTCTCAGACAGTTGGGGTCTGGTTTTCTTAAGTAAGAATGTGATCTGTAATGGTTTTCCATCCTACAGAGCAGGGAACATTGTTATAGGCATCAGTTTGCTCTCCCATTTTTCAGTAAATCTTGATGTTTCCTGCTGCAGCACATTTGATGAACAAATTATATTAATGGATAAACTTCTTGTTGCCATTTTGCTTTGTGTTTCGTATCTGTTAACTGTGTTTGGAATCTCACTTCAAACTGAAATCTCTTGATGGGACAAAAAGAGCCAGTGTCTAAATGCAAACTGGCTATTAGCTCTATGGACAGCATTCCTAATTCTGTCCTAAAGGGAGTATCAGTTCTACAGATCACATTTCATTTTCCATTCTTGTTCAGTCCGTGAATTTATTAGAGTAGTTTTCAGCTATAGTAAATCTTGGGCATTCATTCTGTTATGGAAGTCTTTATATTTTAATGACCAGGCTGAGGACATTCAGTTAGTGTTCCTGGGAATCTCGGTCACATGCATTTAACATTTTAAGAATAGCCTTCTGAATTTCCTGATCTATTATTTAATATACACAGTTGAATTGGCTGCTCAGGGTAAGTATAGCACAGCGCAAGCTCAGTACTTTTGGGTTTCACACTTCACTTGTTTGTTGGTTGTCACTTGGTGAACAATCTACAAACCAAGCAGTGCAAGTACAAAGGCCTCACAATATTTTTGAGTAGGGTTTTGGTTGTGTTATTCTTTATAAAGCAACTTTATTTTTAAACTCTTTAAACTACAATTTTGTACAAAGCAGTTACAGAGTGTAGGAGTGGCTGTGTTTTGGCCATAAGCGTGGAGGAGTTTTTATGTGTCAACTACACGACCACACGAGTAAAAGCTTGTTAATAAATTGGAACCAAGGCAGTATTCAGGGTACTTCTGTAATTACTGTAAGGAAAACAAGAATACAATTTGTTGGCTTAGGGAGGTTTTTCAGTAGCACAGAGAGTAGTTAAGTTTCTAACTCCCCTCAAAGCTAGTAAGGACTCTGAATATTTTTTTTCTATTTGTACCACTTTAAAAGATCTTTTCCTCTGGCCAAGCCTGCAGTACAGTCTTCTGCTTTAACAGCTCTGTCAGGTAGGTGCATGAAATGGTGTGACCCCTGAGCCACAGCACTGTGCCAGTACAACCGCGCTTTTGAAAGGCATTTTTACCTGTATTTCTGTGTGCTTGTACTGATTCATTGTTCCAGCGTACTGGTACAAAGCTCAGCTTTGTTAGTACAGTTGCACCCCCACTGTGAGTGCAGTGCTGTTTGTGGTAGGGTCGTATGCTTTTACACGGAAAGCACATCTTTGTGGCTGCTGAGTGCTTCCAGCCTTTGGTAGCTTAACTCCTGATGGAAGGAAGGAAGGATGGCTTCGGCTGTACTTGGATTCTCCTTATTGAGTAAGGAGGAGAGTTCAGGTTTTTTTAGAAAAAGTCTGGTCTGTGGAGCAGAAATTTTCAGGTTTGAGGTTGGAGAGATTGGGGAGAGTGATGAGAAAGATATAATCCCTGATATTTATGAAAACATAAAAGATCAGAAAAATAAACTCCAAATTCAGACACCAGTGCCTTTTCTAAAACTGTTGTGGTTTAACCCCAGCCAGCGACAAAGCACCACGCAGCTGCTCACTCACTCCTCCCCCCTGCCAGTGGAGGAGAATCGGAAGAAAAAAGTAAAACTCATAGGCTGAGATAAGAACAGTTTAATAACTAAAATAAAATATAATAATAACAACAATAATAATAATTGTAATGAAATGGAATATAACAAAAAGAGAGAAATTAGATGCAAGAAAAGACAAGTGATGCACAATGCAATTGCTGACCACCCACTGACTGATGCCTGAGCAGCGATCAGCCCTTCCTGGCCAACTCCCCCCAGTTTATATACTGAGCATGACGTTCTATGGTATGGAATATCTCCTTGGCTAGCTTGGCACAGCTGTCCTGGCCATGCTCCCTCCCAGCTTCTTGTACACCTGCTTGCTGGCAGAGCATGGGAAACTGAAAAATCCTTAACTTAGTTGTTGCTAAGTAGCTCTTATCCTAAAACATCAGTGTGTTATCAACATTATTCTCGCACTAAATCCAAAACACACTGTACCAGCTGCTAGGAAGAAAATTAACTCTATCCCGGCTGAAACCAGGACAAAAACTAAAGTTAAAAAAAAAAAAAAAGACAAACACCAATAACCAAAAACCCCCAAGCTATATATATGCAGTCACTTCAAAATGGAATACATGTCAAGTTACCAATAACTTCCATTAGATTTTTTTTTTTTGTAGTAATAGGAGAGTTGCAGGAAAATTATAGCCTAACAGTAAGTGTGAAAAGTGGTTTTGTCATTATAATGTGCCTCTCAATACAGCTCTGATCAGCTGGCATCCATGATTGCCATCTGCACGTGGCACTGGGAGAAGCTTTATAACTTGCATTGTCGCTGGTGAAGTAAACATAATTAGTTGGAGAAGTCCTGAATACAGTTTATAAATTTCTTAAATGCTACAATTTGTTGTAATTGCATCCTGTATGAAACATATTTTGGTCCCGTCAAGGCTTACAGGTAGTTAAGACTGGTGAAAGTTAGAATAGATCTGTAAATATCACTGAGAGGCGAAGTGACTATTCGCAATGCTATGATAAAGCACTGTAAATGATGAAAAACTAGCCATCTCATCTAATTCCTCAGCAAAATTGAGATGATCTGTTGTAACAGTCTCTTAGTACTTAGACATAATTACTTTCTTACATGAGCATGCCAGTTCGCATCATGAGTAACGAAAAACTAGCTTGTCAACTAGCATTTTGTTGATATGCAGTAGACGAACCTGTCAGCTCTTGATTTGACCCCAGCAATGCTCTAAACAGTGGCAGTAAGCTGAAAAGTTAGGAGCAGGTTCTACTTTGCTGCTCTTGTTCTGGATAATTTTCTCTTACTCAGCCTGCTAACTCAGGGCAACATATGATATCCTGGAACTTTGTACCAAGACTCAGCTGACAATTTATTTGCAATTTAATAATCTTTACTTATTTATTTTATTGTCCTCTGAAATCTTTTCATGAAGAAAACAGAATTGCAAGCAAGTTCACTAGGTGTTTAGCACCCGCAGCTTTTGAGCAGCCTGCCCAGTGCATTACTGGCAATGGAATCACCCCATTTAAGCACAGGGCAGGGTGTGCTGCTTCCCGTCTGTGTGTGGAGTCATCCATATGGATGAGTTCGTCAGTGCTGGCTGTCAGTTTTTGCAAAATGTACATTACCTGTGAAGGGTAGCTGCTTAACATGCAGTGCCCCTCTTCTTTCCTCGTATCTTTAGCTTGGGGATACACGTTAGGAGGGTACCCTTACATCTAAAAAAACGATTTCCCACTCCAACAATTTGATTTATTAATTCTGCTCCCGGATTGCAGCACGTTAACAAGGAAATAACTAAGCTTCACCCAGGGCTTTTGTTGGTGATAGGATGTTGATGAGTAAATGCCCCATTACTAAACTCTTAATCCAAGCAAACCTTCCTCTGAAAGTGCAATATGTTTCAGAATAGAGGTCTCCAACCTGTGGCCTATAAGTAACATAATGCCTGTGCTACCTTCCAGTGTTGTTGGGAGCACATGAAGCTGTAAATGCTGAAGGTAACAGAAAGCATATGATGGTGTTTAGGTGACTGATTTCTCATGTTCTGTGTTCCATGGGGCAGCCTGGAGACGACTGCTTCAGTGGGAGATCCCTCTGTTGAGCAGACTGTAGTGGTATTTTGATTTTCATCCTTAAAAAGTATTTAATTTCATGCCTTGCAAAATGAACTGTGGTTATGGTGCCTGATGTCTGATCCTCCTCAGTGGTCTGGTGAGCTGTTGGTCTCAGCAGTGGCATGACTTTCTCAGGTAAATTATTTGTTATGGCAGAACACAGAAATGGGGCAGTTTATTACTTAGGACTGTCCAAGCAGGTTAATGTGACCTTTAGATTTGCCATATCCAGTTCACCTGGATTTGTCTCCAAGAAGGTTATGTTCCATAGGAGTTCACAGATGTGGTTCCCAGGTACCATAGCTCTACCTGCTGCTTGTAAAAATGAGTCAAGCTTCTGAGATTTCTGGAAGGATAATACTTGGTTCTGAACGTGTTGGCATCTGTAGCACTTGTAAAAGGCCAGCTACCCTGACCGTCCATCTCTGAAGTGCAGCATGCCCAGGAGGTATCGGTACGGGACAGCTGACTCCCCAGACCACCACGGACCAGGCGGTACGTCTGCACGTCGGGGAGAGATGCTGTGGGCATGAGCCTCTCTCTCCATCAACGCCGCAGGGAGCTCTGCTTCACGGGGTGCCTCCTCAAACCAGGCCAGAGGAACGCTGCTGAAGTCCTGGTGCAAGCAAATGCACCCGTCTCCTCCATAGCTTGACCGCGCTCTGTTTCACATCTCATCACCCTGGAGTCTGCTTTGATCCTGGCTGAATTCCACATACATTTTTCAGTTTTAAATAGTTCATTTTATTGTTGATAGATACAGGAAAGGATGTTGCTCTTCTGTCTTTTAAGACAGAGTAATCGATAACGGCGACAGGAGGAAACCATGCTTAGGATGAGGAATTAAGGGTTTGGCTGCATTTCGACTGCTTTGTTGTGAAATGATGTCTGCAGCCTGTGTTTGATTTAATGCAAATCACAAATTTGCACAAATGCAAATCTGCATATTGGCAGATTCAGGAAGGCATCTTCTGGCTTGTCATTACATAAAGTAATTTTACATCATTTTTCTGAGCAAAATGAGAGTCATCACATTGTCATTTTATAGTTGTATTGGGGAGTGGAGCTTGGCATTTGCCACTCAAGTCGACCCCCATGACACCTTAAACCCCTAAATGAGGTGCTGCAGTGCTGTAACAGTATAAGTGGGCTTCCAGGTCTGATTTGTTGTTCTGCTGCTCTGTTGATAGGT